CTCGGAGGGAAAAGGCTGACTTTGTCCGATGGCAGTTCTGATTTCTGCCTACCTGTGTCCAGCTAAACTGGACTAGACACCATGGGGAGGTCGTGGGTGTGTCCAAAGCGAGAGGTCAAAGGGTGGGGCATTTTAGAGGCTTCAGGCAACAACAATAACAAAGAAAGATCTGTTTGGGGGTCGCATCCCCCCCTCACACTAATAGAGGTCAGGGTTCCCCTATTGAGGGAGAGGATGGGCTTGAAGGTTGAGGTGAGGTGACCCCACCTTCCCGGAGGGTGTCCCTTTTGATCCTCTATGGCTGTGCAGTGCTCACAATCCGTAAAATGGGAAAACAGTCTAGCTGAGGAACGGGGAGCCAGGATCCAAACTCAAACCCGGGGATCTGGCTTCTGCCTCAATTTCTTCTTGAGGGTAGGGAGGATGGAGTTTGCATGGGTTTGATCAAACCCTCCTGGTTCTCACCAGAGGGATTCTGGGCCCTTGTTATGGGGTGGGGCAAGGGAGGGGCCTACAGGAGGTAGGAAGGGGCCCTGCCCTCTGCGACCACAGGGGGGCGCCAGAGACCGGCGTAGGAGCAGCAGGTCTGGCCTAGACAAGAGTCCCCATCTCCCAGGAAAGATGTAGGGGAGAGGTCCTGGTGTGGAGGAAGGGCCCCCTTCTCCGATGCACGTCTTAGACACCCAGTCCTCAGAGGTCAGCAGTCAAGGGCTAGATTAGCAAGATCACTGGGTCCTGGCTCGCCACCCTGTGTGACCTCAGGCAAGTCCCTTAACCTCTCTGAATGCTGAATTCTCAGAAAAGTCCACTTAGTGGGCCTATCAGAATCCATCCTACATAGTAGCACCCCCCCAAAAAAGAAAAGAAAACAAACAGAAAAAAAACAACCTACTGCCATGGAGTCAGCTACAACTCATAGCAACCTCCATTGGGTTTCCAAGGCTGTCTTTATAGAAGAATGTCCTATCTTCTTTCTGTGGAGCAGCTGATGGGTTTGAACCACCAATCTTCTGGTTAGCAGCCAAATGGCTTACCTACTATGCCACCAGAGCTCCTACGTGGTAGAGGAGGCAAACTGAATCCCAGCCAATAAAAAGCAGGCCTGCCAGGGACAGCTCTGGGCAGGCCTGACTTGGACTTGACTCTGGTCTTGTACTTGTTTTTGTCACATCTTTTTTCAAGCCTCAGTTTCCTTGTCTGCAAGGGGGGTTGGGCTCCCTGCATACTCTTAGATCCAGGCTCAGAAAGGCCTGGAAGGCTGTGTTGGTGCCTGGATCCCTGTGCCAGCCTCAGCACGGAGCTGTCTTTCAGCCCACGGTGCCCCAGTAGATATGTTCTCCAGCCTGGTGTGAACCAGGCCACCAGGGCCACCAGAGGCCCGACCTTGACCTGGGGCCAGACCCATGGCTGAGCTCTGTGGGTGCTCAGTGGATGAGTGATGACTCTCCAAGTCTGAGCAGGTAGAGGGGGGAGGAGGCACTCCGCCCCAGAGCTTGGGCCCCAGCCAATCTGGGCAATTGGCCACCCTCTCCCTATTCCCACTGCCTCCACTTTGTGAAGCCTCTTCTGTGGTCAGAACTTGCCCAGTGAGCCTCTCGCCTCCACCACTCAGCCACCCAGCCCCTTGGGGGTTGAGAGGCTGGCACTGGCAGGCCAGTGCTCACCCAGCCCAGGGTCGGGGAGCTGGTTATGACATCACCATCTTGCATTCCTATGGGGCTTCCTGGCATTTCAAAGTGACATGATCTGTTATATTCACAAGCCACAAGCTACCCTGTCAGAGGACAGGGCTATTAGTATCCTCCCTTTACAGATGAATATGGAGCCTCGGTGGCACAGTGCTTAAAGAGCTCAGCTGCTGACCGAAAGGCCAAGTGTTGGAACCCACCAGCCGAAAGATGTGACAGTCCACTTCCAAAAGATTGACAGCCTTGGAAACGCTATGGGGCAGTTCCTCTCTGTCCTCTAGGGGCGCTGTGAGTCTGAATCAACTCTACAGCAGTGGGTGTGGTTTGGGCTTTACTTCTGTAAAGATTGACAGCCTTGGAAACTCTATGGGTGCAGTTCTTTTCTGTCCCCTAGGGGCGCTGTGACTTAGACTATGTTGTTGTTGTTGTTGCAAAAAGGAAACTCATTTTAATGACCCAGGACCCAGGCTTAGCAGAGTGAGAGGAAGAGAGGAAGGTTTAGATAAGAGGAGAAAACCCAAGAGAGGCAGAGGGTGTTAGGGGCAGGAAGGGGTCTGTGGTGGTTATGTTTGTGTGTCAGCTTGGCTGGGCCTGGCTGAGTGGCTGGGCAGCTGCATGTAGTATTCTCCATGATGAGACTGGTAATCAACTCCATGGTGGAATCTACTGTGAGCAGCTGAGTAGCTGCCTTTGGGTATGTGGTCTGCTTCCTGTATATAAGGAGAAGCCTTGGGAACGGTCTCTAGCCTATGGCACGCTTGGACCCTGCACGTAGCCACGTCGTTGCTCAGCAGCCTGCTATGTTCTGCCGACCTTGGGACTTACAGTGGACTTAAGTTAATAGCCTGCTGTGTGGATTGGTAACATCGGGATTGTGCCTTTTTTACTTGTCAACCTTGGGGCTTCTCAGCCTCAGCGGCCAGCAGCTGTCTGAGTGAAGAAACGCCTCTAGCTTCAGTGGGAGCAGGAGGCAGAGCTGGACCCCAAGGTTGAGGGGCTCTCACACAGCCCCTAGATTCTGGCACTTTGAACTTGGACATAAACCCTCCAAATTGTAAGAATAAACTCCTGTTTGTTAAGGCCATCCCATTTGTGGTATATTTCTTGTCAGTGGCACCAGGGAACCAGAACAGGGCCCGAGAGCCCAACCAAGCGACAGGAGAAACTTGGTCTTCCAGGGCGCCCCCTCCCTAGGTCTGGAAAGGGCCCAACACAAGGCAGACTCTGGGGCTCTGCAGTATCTCAGCTGTGTCTTAGGCCTCCTGGTTCTGGGCTCTCAGATCCCCCGTGGCTGAAGGCAGGACACTCCCAGCCTTGGCCCTGGGAGGGGAGGCAGCTCTGAGCAGATGTCCTGCAGGACTAACACGAATGGCAGGCCACCCCGTCCCAGCCACATGCCTGCCCCTGGGAGCCAGGCAGTGGGGGTCCTGCCCCCAACTCTTGCCTGTGGCAAGCCGTGTCTGTCTCAGGACCGCAGTGTCTGGGTACAGTGCTGCACCTGCTCGGGTGTGAGGGACAGTGAGGCGCGCGGCATGGCCGGCAGTGGCCGCTCTAACGTTTGTCTAGGATGAGCGCGGGGTGGCCGTGTGGCTGGAAGGTGGAGGAGCTCATGGAGACCTGCTTTGACTGCTCCAGACCTGAGTCGTCACCGTCACCCATTCCTGGAGCCTCACCGTGAGTCAGAGTAAACTGGACTGCAGGGGATTTTTTTTTTTTAATTGTGATTTGGGTGAAGGTTTACAGCACAAATTCGTTTTCCATACAGCAGTTCATACACATTTTGTGTCATGACATTGACTGCATTTCCCCGCATGCAACAGCTCTCTTCTTACTTCCTCCCTGTAGTTACCTCTTCCTGTGTCCTTCCCTCCCATGTATTCCCCACCCCCCAGCTGTCTCCCTGTGCACACACTCCCTTCTGTTCTCCCGTGATTGATCCCTCTAAGGAGTGTATCTAACTGACGTAAATGTTCACTCTATATGCCTATTTGGCTGGAAGCCATAGGAGTGAGTTCAAGTCCAGACCTGAATGGTAACTAGGGGCCTTAATCTTGGGGGGTCTCACCAGGCTCTGTAGACCAGTGAACCTGGTCCTTTGTGTGATTTTGCGTTTTGTTCCACATTGTTCTTCCACTCTATCCAGGATCTCCTGCACTGATCCCTTTCTGAGTGGTTGACAGTGGGAGCTGGGCACCATCTGGTTCTTCTGGTCTCAGTCAGG